AGACAGACAGACAGACAGACAGATGATTGATTGGTAGATGGTATAGAGATAGAGAGATATCAGATATATATTGTACACTAAAGAATATGTAGATTTTACCTAACACACTATGTATGCCTTGTGTGTGTGTTTGTTGTACAGAACCTATTGATGTGATGGTGCTGCATAGGCAGGTTAAGGAGATAAGGTGAAGTGAGACTGGTTTATGAACATTTTGCTAGGAAAGAAGGAAAGGAAAGGAAAGGAAAGGAAAGGAAAGGAAAGGAAAGGAAAGGAAAGGAAAGGAAAGGAAAGGAGGTTTGAAAAGTTTTAAGGAAAACAGGCAGAAAACAAGGAAATCTGCTCGACATGGGAGAAAGCAACAAAATGGAAACTCAAGGAATAGGTAACCGAAGAAGATAATTTTTGGTGGCATTGCTGCATCAGACAAAATGTGTTTAGTTCAGTCTTTTGTTTCTAGTAAATTGCTTGCTATGTACTTCTTTGTCATATTTCCTAAAGCAGCTTATTTCCCCTTACATCCTCCCTCAGACACATTACTCTTGAAATTTAAGTTTCCTTTAACCATCATAATTAATAGCCATTGACAGACAAAAATAGCATGGTTTATGGAAATGCTGAGGAAAGAAAATTCACTATAATCTCCCATTTGCCTGTGTAACAAAAGCCAAAATATGTGGCAGAAAATAGGGATAAAATAAAATTAGGACTGAAAGATTTTACTCTGAGATGCAGATGAGAATCTGCTTGCTCTGTATATGTGTTAACTAATTAAACCTCACACTTGTCTTGCGAGCTATTTAACATTGTTTATACTTTGAAAACAGAAGCATAATGACTGGTTTTAAAGGCTAAAAAGAAGCTGCCAATTTTTATATCACTCTGTTTAGAACAGATAGAAAAATTCTTATGATTATAAATTGCTTTTTTCCTTACTGATTTATTGCTCATTGGTCAAATCAGGAGATATGCATCAATACATTGATCGCTACAAATTTACATGTTTCAAACTGGGGGACTTTTAAGTGTCACTTAATAATCTTATTTACCAGCTGGGCAGCCTTTTTCTCCAGGAACTTCTTCATATCCAGGACAACATTCATAAGCAACCACTCTGTAGTGAGAAATATACACAGCATAATAAGATAAATCAACCAAAACCTCAGTTACCATCTGGCATAATTGGTACAGTGAAAGTTGACTGAAATTAAGTCTAGTTAGATCGGTCAGCATTGACCTTTCATTCTGTAATTTGTGACCATCAACCTTCCTGAAAAGTCATATAGAACAACTGGAAGGATGACGGGCATGTTGAGAAATATCCCCATGGTGAAGTTAATTGAAAAATTATAGACTACTCAGGGGAGGCATTCTAAAGATGAACTGGGAAATTAGATTAGATTAGATTCAATTTTATTGTCATTGCCATGGATATAGGCAACGAAATGCAGTTAGCATCCAACCAGAAGTGCAAAACAACAATAAAATATAAATATATTATATAAATATAAATATGTGCATTGAAGCCAACATCATATGTTGTTTGCTAACTGTTAAACATATACCCATTCATTGCATCTTTCTAAAGCTTAAAAAGTTTTAATTCATCTATGTATATCAGGGTGATCAACTGTAGTCTACATTAATGAAGTGATTTTTTTTTTAGCAGATTAAGCTATTTTGGTATCTGCTGGGCTCCTACATTGTATTTAATCACTGTTTGGATGATATCATAATTTCATTATGTTTATTATCTTAACAAGCTATCTAATGTTTTCTTTCGCCAAACCTCAGTATTAGAATAATACTTCTCTCCATGGGAGATAATTTTTGCTTTCTTTGACCAGCCTACTTGACTAAGAATTTATTTAAATATTTTTTTTCTTTCTTTTGTAACAATTTATATGAACTCATGGCTATCCCAACTGAATTATGAACAATCAGGTAAATAAATCAGGCAATGAATGTATCTCTGTGTTGTAAATAAGCAGCCAGGCCAATTAATTATGTTCTAAGGTTTAATTTTTTAAAAATTGATCAGTGATCAAACTAGTTGATCAGTGATCAAACTAGTTGTTAAATATGTCAGAATTGCCTCTGACATATTTAACAGCTGCTAGTGAGTTGTTTTTTCTCTGCCTTCTAGCATAACAAAAAAGAAAAAAGAAATAAAAGTCAGCATATTTTTTTAAAAAAAACTCATCCATTTTATTATTATTTTTAAACAGCAAAATAAAAGCTATGCTTTCCTTTTTCACATGGAAAAAAAGCTTCATCTTTCCCCAATATTGGTTAATTTCTAAATCTGCAACTTTTAAAAAAGCAGACAATGTAATCTCAGAGTCAAAGAGAATAATGTACTGTCTGTGGATTTAATCTATAGAATTGATTCAGAAGCAAGTAAAACGTGTTTGATTAAAATGGTATGAAAAATAGAGGAATGTATCTGTATATGAAATAGGGGAGAGTCATGGGATGGCAGCAAGTTAAAACTATTTGGCATTTTATTATTTGATCTTTAGCATGCTACAGAATGAAAAAAAATTCCTTAATATAATTAAATTTTAAACTGCAACAAATACATGCGCTACATTTATAGAAATAAATTCTGTTCTGCAATTTCCAAGAAAAGTTACCTAGGAAAATCCTAACTCATTGTCTAGACTTTATATATATTCCATATGGGAAATGTTTTGCTTAAAATAATTTGCTTTCTTTGATGCTTGGAGCTCTCAACACCCCACTGGTACACTTTTCTGTCTCCACTAACTTTTTCTTTAATACAGATATACACATTTATATGCCCAATTTGGCAACCAAATAAACTCAGCCTTAATAGTCTAGACAGATTTTTAGTTCAAACCAGAATTAAATACAAAAAAAAAGATTAATGGAGAATTCAGCCACTTCAGCATCAAGAATTCCTAAGATAGAATAGCAGGGTTTCACATATTAGGGAGAAATAAATCTGAGGCAAATATACACAAAATAGACAGTTATAGCTCAACATTATTATCCTATTCCATCTTTATGGGTCACTACTTAGCCTAGGTAAATATCTCTCTCATTGAAATACAGAGGTACGTAGTAGAAAGGAAAATGTTGACATTGAAGAGCCTCATATGTGTGGGATAGCCCTCAAAGAGTATGACATTTAATTATTTGTTCTACCACTGATCACTCAGCTTGAACCATTATAGCAATAGCAATAGCACTTAGACATATACCACTTCACAGTCATTTACAGCCCTCTCTAAGCAGTCTACAGAGTCAGCATATTGTCCCCAACAATTTGGATCCTCATTTTACCCACCTCAGAAGGATGGAAGGCTGAATCAACCTTGAGCCTGGTGAGATTTGAATTGCCAAATTGCAGGCAGCTGGCAGTCAGCAGAAGTAGCCTGCAGTACTGCAGTCTAACCACTGCGCCACCACGGCTCATTATCCTACTTATATCACTGGCTGGATGAATAGATAATCAGAAGCCCTTCTCAAGATCTGCTTCTCAAAGTGGTATTATCTAGTGGTTAACATTTTTATTAAGTTTGTTTCCTATGAAATAAAAAAAGTCCTTTTAAACAGTAAGAACTATCAGACAAGAGGGATGTGCAGCACTATGAAGTAGTATATTAGTCTAAATGCTATTGCTGTTCAGATGCAGAATAAGTAGCTTGCAAAAAATAAGACTCTGCTTATCTCTATGCTCAGTTGCAACTGAAAGAATCCTAAGAAGGACTTTGGATTCCTGTTTTTAGTTATGTTACACCAAGATAGAAGAGATTTTTTATGGCCTGAGTTCTTAGCTTAGCTCTGATGGTAAGTTCCTCATATCAAATCAAAACTGAGTTTCACATAGTTTGTTCCTGAAAAAGGAACTAAAGAAGGATATGATGGCACACATACTACATATTTGGGTCAGAATCAACTGGCTTCCTGCCCCCATTTTCCTGTTTGGTTTTTCTGTTGGAATGGTACGTGGGAATGGCTTCGAGGGAAGAGAGGAAGTGATGTGTCTGAGGGAACAATCAGACAAGAGAGTGAGGAGCCCACAATTGCTTAACCGTCAGAGAGAGAAACCTAGGAAGGACACACCCTAATTGATCAGACTAATAAGAGACAGCAGGAAATCTGTACTTTCAGACTTGGAAGATTCTGTTAATGTAGTCTTACAATAAAATAAAGTTAACTTAACTGATCATGTTTCCTTTCTGGTTTACTTTGGAGGGTTGACACCTGCTTTCTTTCTCAGTTTGTTACTAAGCAATTATCTTCTGAATTATGATTCTCCTGGTTTCCAATGTCCTGTATGCCTTAGTAGTATAACTCAGATTTAAGCGTTGTCTTTGATTGTCCTTATTAATACTTTACTTATTGACCAGCCCTCCCTTACCAAATGCAAACTGGAGAAATGTATGAAATTAGATGAATGGAATATTGTGTCCAACAATTGTTTTAGACTTCAAGTCCATAATCTCTTTGCTAATGGGCATGCTGGCTGAAGCTGATGCAAGTTGACATTCAAAACCTCTAAAAGTTTCTTAATTGCTTACCTGGTACTTTACTCCCCTAAATCATTACTTTGGAATTATGTCATTCCTGGTAAACTAAATCATTCTGTTTACATCCATGAGTAAAAACTAAAAGAATGTAAGGATGCTATCAGAGAAAATAATTCCTTCTTTGCTCCTTCAACATCTAGCTTTGAAAACTTACCTAATTAACTAAACAGAGTTCTTCTTTCACTGTACAGTTAATAAAATATTGTTGTATCACTTTAGTTGCCATTACTTTTAAACCAACATCTTATCCAAACATATACTGACAGTTATGCAAACCTGCTTCTCCACGCAGTCTAATTCCAAGTAAAACATACATTCTAAAACTGGGAATGTCCCAGGAATCCCCCTGTTCTTTATGAAAGTAACAGGGCTACGCTAATCCTCACTTTTTATGTATATTTTCACATCAGATTCTGATGCTCCACCCCCCCCCCCCACTTAGGCCTTGGAAGCTGGTTTTAAAAAAACAAACAACTCTCCCCAGCCTCTAAGTAAAAAAAAAGTTGCTATGTCCCCCGCCCCCCATCTCAGAATAGTCCATCAAATTCATAAAATTCAAAGATTCCTTTTCAAACTGATTTAGCATAACTCCTCAGGCATAATAACAACCAGTGCAAGGAAAGGGTTGTTCAGGCAAGAAAGAAAGAATGTGGAACAAAGGAAAACTCAATTATTTTCGATTACTGATGGCATTTATATGAGCACAAGAGTACAGTGACTAGTAAACCTTTATCAAAGAAAGACAAATGATGATTGAACATCAAAGAACTCTGAGAAAACTTTCGAATAGCAAAGTGATTGCTCACCTTACAAAATCAAAACACACCAGAGATAACTCTGAATTGTCAGGTGAACTAGAGGACACATACATTTGTGGGAAATTTTATAATCAGACAGTATCATGACATTTCTCCCTCAGGTTTCCTCAGGTCTATGGGCTAAAGAGAGAGCACAACATCTGGTGATAGAAGGGTGAAATGCAATGACATTATCCTCCAGCAAATCAGAAGTTTGGAAGAAGAACAAAATCAGCTCATTTTCCTTTGATGTTATGAACGAACATTATAGTTCTACTTTGTCTTGGAAACACAACATTTTGGGAAATGGCCTAAAGGCATTCAGTATTCAAGAACTGTACATTTCGCTTACTTTACTACCATAGTCCAAGAACATCTTGTAAATAATAATGTCCCTTGTTTTATTATGATAGCAGTTCTTCAAGATAGTTTAACTAATGGCAGTTTAAGTGCTTTGTGGCAGAAGAGATTTGAACCCACAGTCCCTATATGTAACTTATTTTATGGCCTATGCTTTAATCATCACCATAAATATAAATTCTTCTTTAAAGATGTTTAAATCTGCTTCTATGTTAACATTTTATAATCAGATTTGGTTTTCTCATATGCAAAACTGGGAAGGAAGCCTCATGGTGGCAAACATTTCTAATTATATCACTTGTATTTGTGCCAATGGACCAGCACTTGACTCAATGGGGACTTAAACAGAAGACCACATATATTGATCTCTGATTATTATTAAGTCAGCTTTATGTATT